ATTATGTCGGCATTTACAACTTTATAATAAATTTTGTTTTAGTTTTGACTTGTAAAGTGACATCTTTTGTAATCGTAGCAAGTGTCAAAATGATCTTGTGCAACCAGTTGCATAAAGTAGAACATTATGTATCTAATTACTAAAAGTTCATTATGTCTCCAGATGTAAAAAGAAAACAGATAAAATTAACCTTTTTTTCATTTTAAAATAAAAACATATTGCTTCATTGCTTTTCAAAGTATATATCGAGGGAAGCTTGCCTATAAAATTAGTATTGTCAGCGAACGGCCGTTATTTTAATGCGTCTTGATCAGTGGCGGCTTGTGGTAATTTAAAATAGGTGTTCACTTTTTCCAATAATTTTATCATTTGTAAGTTCGGTTCAAAAATTTGTACAAGAGTCAATATCGCTGTTTTTTTATTATTTGAGATTGTATTAAGTGTAGTTATTATTATCAACATCATACTATTTTCAAGCACTAAAACCATTAATAAATGAATATTTGTTTTAACCATCTATAAATATTATTAGTTAGTAAACTGACTTTTGTTCATAATTTAAGATTATTTTTAAATATATATCAGGTTATGTAGAAAGCTTGACATTGATATTTGTGTAAAAAATATTATATGAAACTTTACCTACCATTGTTCAGTTTTTATTGTAAGTTTAATCATTTTCACAATTTGTCACAGATGTCAAATAAAATGTATATATTTTAAATACCTTTTATTGGCAAATAAAATAAAAAAATAAAATATTTTAAAAGTTTATTTTATACGATCAGTCCCATCACAATACATAATATTACACAGATGCAAACTAGAATATGTAATGCCTGGCATTCTACATGATACTCTTTGCAGTTTAACAGACCCCCTTAACCCCCATTTTCAACCAAATTGTTTTCACAATAAACATGCCTTATCTCCTTATAGGGCTTGATTTTTACTAAAAATTTTATATCGCTTTTCATTTTTGATTTTTTGTTTTAATTTCAACCCCCCTTAAATCCCCCATATTTATTCAGATTTTTTTTATAATTATAGGTCTTCTTCTCCTTTTAGAGCTTGATGTTTGCTAAACATTTCAAGTTGATATCATTTTTCGTTTTTCAGTTAGGATTTTTTTTTATTATTTTAATTCCCCTTAACTCCTTAATATATTCATATTTTTTTTCAAAATTAATAGGCTTTATCTTCTTATAAAGCTTCATTTTACTAAAAATTTCATGTTGATATCGCTTATCGTTTTTAATTTAGGATTTTTTTTTAATTTCAACCCATCTTAACCCCCTATTTTTAATCAGATTTGTTAAAAATCAATAGGCTTTGTCCCGTTATAGAGCTTGATTTTTGCTTAAAATTTTCAAATTAATATCATTTCTCGTGCAGACAAAAAACGCGACATCAGACAGATGGACAAAGTAAACCTATAATACTCCTCACGGAATACGGTATGAAGAGTAGAAAAAAAATGTATAAGGTAAAATAAATAAATTAAAAAGGTCAACAATAATATTCAACTTATCAAAGGATACTTAAAGTTTGAAATAGCAGCACATAATTGAACATTTACAGAAATCTGCGAACTAAAATAGTAAGATGCACATCGTAAAATATTATCACACTTAATTCTCCATATTACCCTTTCTAAATGTATTTCACTGCACATTCCAAAGAATTCTTGCTCTCTGTCCTACTCTCATGGCAGACTTTTGCGTGTCCATGTTCATTAAAAAATAATGTGTTTTAACAAACAACAGAATAATAGCATTTTGTTCAAATAGGTAAATCGGCTTCATCTGTATTTTCAAATTATTGTTTAATTGTAGTTAGTATATTATTGTTTTGATATGTACTTATAGGATTGGATAGCCAGAGCATGTAGATATGTGGGATGTGACTTGTTAAGTGCCTAATTAAAATCACAATTTATGTTTGATACTTATTTCTTTTTTCGAGACATACTTTATTATCAACTGTAAACTAATTTACCAACAGCCTTATTTTTAATTAATACCTGCAGTGATCCAAATTACCACAACATATAATATTTTTGAAAATACTAAATTATAAGAACAAGGCAATAAAAAAATCATTAAAATAAAAGATTTCTGGTTTGTATGCAACAAACGATCTATGTTAGAGGGTAACACGATTGATAATTACAGTAAAACATAAAATTATATAGGTAAACAATTTAAATGTACATACCATTTCTTAGGTAAAATTTCTCATCTAGTATATTAATTTTTCCGATTCAGACTTTTAAAGTGAAAAACCATTTGTCTCTTTATCTTTATCAAACTTGTATTGTACATTTTCATTTCCACAATGATGTCAAGTAGATCAGAATAATCAAATTTTTCCTTTTAGCGGGTTTTGTGGGAAAAAATTTAACAAATTTTTTGCTTACTTCTTACTTTTTACTTCATAGTATTTACAATTGGGAATAAAATATACCATTTTGAAGTAGTCTTTGGATGGTCTCAGACACTGAAACAAAATATAAAACAAATTACAGTCGTAAAACTTTATTATAGGTAAATAAAACAATATAACCTTGATCCATCATAAACTTATGCGAAATAATCAAAACACTGTTTCACACAAATCACGACACCAATATGACCTTATAGAGAAAACATTAAAAATATCCGTATACGTATTCATTTATAAATTTCTAACTATTTGACGTTTATCGATAATAACTTCTACTAATAGTGCAGTTTATTTTGCAAAACGTCGCTCTGGTTGTTTTGCAAATATTCACTCGTTACACAAAAAAAAAGGCACTTCGTAACTAGTTACATAAATAGCTATTAAACCGTAATAAATAAAATTTACCGATAAAACACCTAAGTAAATAGATCAATTCACTTCAATCTAGTCTGGCTACTTTATTATTCCACCCAAACTTCCATTAATGTCTTAATAGTCCAACCAGACCTGATTAGTTTTTCAATACCAGAATAAGTAAATATATATACTCGTGTAGTAAAAGCCTTCTTGAATAATAGACAACCCATTACTGCGTTAATAGCTCGAAAATCGAGCTCGAGAAATTTAAAGAAATATTCGTTTTCGATGACCACTACACAAAATCGTTTCCGTATTAAACTTCAAAGTAGGCAATTCCGTTTACATCCATGAATAGTGCGGAAATATTATATTACACTGTTTAGTGCATTGAGAAAAATTTGATATAACCTTTAGTATGAATAAATAAACAATGTAAAGAAATGTAAATTATTTTACCCAGAACTTACATTTTAACAATTTAAAATTAAAACCACCAAACCAAAAACCCTTTTTCATCTTCCTTTCTTCATCGATCTTCCTCTTGATTCCACCAGAACTCTCACTTCGTGTCCGCTCGGTGTTCTTTGTCACGTTCACCGTTAATAAACGATAATGCTTAGCTGCTTTTGGTCCAGTTACACAAACCAAAAGGATGGTTTTTATTATTTTCATTCAAGGTTGCCTTTTTTTTTAATTATATACGATTTCCTTTTACGCCATTTTAAATTTTTTAAAACTTATTTAGGATCTCTTATCTTTGACTTCTAAAAGTCTTAGATGCCAATTTTAGTCGAAATCTGTGACTTTTAAAAACAAATGATTTTTTAAAACTGTCCACTCTATATATAACTGACCAGAAGTATAACTGGTTTTGAGCCAGAAAGGAACCTTATCTGCATACCAAATTTGAAGTTTTTCTTTAAAGCCAGTTTTGAGCTATCGCGCTAACAGACAGACGACGATAGACGACGACAGACGACGACAGATCACGAAACACGACGACACACGACGATAGATGACAACAGATGACGACAGACGACGACAGACAACGGGAGAACTTTCCACCTATTTTTCTTGAACCTTTCTATAGAATGGAGTCTTATCGTTGCAAAAATTTGAAGATCTCTATATTATCGAGAAACATAATCACGAAGTATTCCCAATGGCGCGCGTATAAATCCAATAATTTTATATTAGAAAATCCTTAAAACATGTTTACTTTCGCGAGAGGTCTGGATTGTTAAAATTACAATATGAGAGTTTGTTGTATGTAAATGCTGTGATACCTCACCTACCTTGTTTTTATTGTTGTTTCAATGATATTTAAAAAATGTATATTATTAGAAAGTAAATATCTACGTAACTATTTTAAAATAAATGTTTTTATTAGAATGTAATTTTTTTATTAAAATTTTAAAATTGGCATGTATGTAGTTTTTATGTCCATCAAAAATAACTTATAGATATTTTTAAGAATGTGTCCCGGTTTCGTCAAGTTAAAATCTGGCCACCCCATGTATTTACTACCTATTATATTTCTAATTTAAAGTCGTTGATATTAATTTCTGATAATGATAGAAAAAGTATAGTGTGCCACTCGGCAGAATAACCTATTCCATGTACTTGTTTCTCATTTCGTCCTTGGACATATCCCTAGTATCTTCGGTCCTAGAGCTAATACTCCAGTGGCGGTCATACGGGGGGGGGGCATGGGGGCCATGGCCCCCCCTTGGCTAATACTGAACTAAAAAAACCGTTCAAGAAAATAAGTAGCAGATCTAAATAATAAAAAAAAATATTAGTTTAAAAATTATTTATGAGCCGCTAAAATAGATACTTTAACAACCAATCGCACTTTTTTGAAATGACTTATTTAACTCTAATTATTATGAATACGAGATACAAGCAGTCAGACTAGGCGACCGGCTTTAATCTCAGCGGAGCGTAGCGCTTGCGCGAGCACGACGATAGGTATGTATTTCCCATGGTATTTCCACTTCCACTATTCCAGTTTCAGTTTGTTGTAGTTGAATGTTGAGCGTAATATTCTGAAATTAGAGCGGTGCGAACATATCCTTAATTGTACGATCAAGACGTACTGTAATAAGTATAGGTTTTGCGCGGATGTAAATATATAGGTAAGGTAAAATTCAGCATTACATATACATAATTCTCACCTAATAATTATTTTAGAAATGAAAAAAAGACCGTGTACCATATATTCTTATTTTGCACCTACAACACAGAAAAAAAAATCTGTAGAGGCCCCAGTTGAAAATACACAACAAAACATCGAGCCGCCACCATCAACCTCGGGAGTCAATAGTAGTTCAAATGCTCTTGCAACTGTTGATAAACCAGAAATTTTTAAATTTGACATTGGGAAGGCAGTGGGGTGTTCCAGTATTTCTGACTACGACAAATTTAATTACATAAATAATACATGGACAGCTGAAAGCAATTACCCTTTTCCATATTCGGAACATAATAAAAACAACAAGGTAGTAAGACGGTATTTACATCATCATCATATAAATAAATATGACTGGATATCTTATTCTGAAGAGAAAAGGGGTATTTTTTGTAAATATTGTGTAATTTTTTCAAAAAATCAACCAAATTTACAGATAAAAGACTCTTTGTTAATTGGTAAGCCTGTTATAAAATTCGCAAAATTACTTGGCAAAGATGGGGTACTTGAAATATACAATTCAAGCAAATATCATGGTGAAGCTATTTTGAAGGCTAATAATTTTTTATTAACATATAGCGTTCCTTCAACAGATGTCAGAAATTTGCTGGATACCGCCAGGTCGCAGCAGATTGATGAAAACAGAAAGAGGTTGAAGCCTATTATCCAAACCATAATTTTTCTTGGTCGACAAAATATTCCTCTACGGGGACATAGAGATGACGGGCCTCTTTTAGAACATGAAGATGGAAATGATGGAAACTTTAGACAGCTTCTCCGCTTTAGAATTGAAGCTGGAGACAAAATCTTGGAAAACCATCTAAAAAAGACCACTGCCCGAGCTACATATATTAGCAAAAGATCACAGAATGAGCTGATAACATGCTGCAAAGAGGAAATAATCTCTATAATTTTAAAAAAAGTCAAAAAGGCTAAGTCCTTCAGTATTATGTTCGATGAAACAACAGATATTGCTCATATATCTCAAATGTCGCTTGTTTTAAGATACGTGGTCGATAATGAAATTAGAGAGGATTTTGTAGGATTTTTGGATTGCCATTCACAAAACTACGATAAAAATTGTTTGAATTTAGAACCTGTTTGGGATGAAAGAGAATCGTCTAGCAAAGCAAGGGCACATATACTTTCCATATCGAATTCAGAATTTATAGTTGCTTTACATTGTCTAAGTGATATTTTGGCATTAACTCTGCCTTTAAGTAAACTATTGCAGAAGGAGGTTTTAGATGTCAATAGTGCACAAGATGTTTTACTTTACACTCTACTCGTTTTAAAAGATAAACGCCTGAATGCCGAACACAACTTTGATTATTTATTAAACGATATCAATGTCTGCCTTAGGAATTTAGAAATTGATTTATCCATCCCTAGATTAACTACTTTAATGAGAAATCGACCTAATCCTCAAACGAAATCCCCAGAGGAGTACTACAGAGTCAGTGTGTACATTCCTTTACTAGATAGTACTATATTAGATTTAGAGTCTCGCTTTCCAAAAGGTACTATTGAATTATTTTACTTAAGCACATGCATTCCTTCGAATCTAATTCAATCAGAAGAAGCAGTTATTAATAATATAGTTCAGGTGCTAAGTGAGAAATATGGTCAATATTTTCAAGAAAATAAGGACTTGGTGAAAACAGCCTTCAGAAGTGAAATGATCATTTGGAAGGCAATGTGGATATCTAATAAAGATCCTCCAAAGAACGGTTTAAGTGCATTAATTGTTTGCGATAGAAATATTTTTCCACATGTACATGACTTTATCAAAATTTATTGCACATTGCCAGTCAGTGTTGCCTCATCAGAAAGGAGCTTTTCCAGCTTAAAGAGGTTAAAATCTTTGTTTCGATCTACAATGGAAGAAAATCGTCTCAATGGATTAGCTCTATTACACATTCATAAAGACATTGACATAAATGTAGACAATATAATTGAACGTTTCGCAAAGGGTTGCAATAGAAATTTAGAATTTATATTGTAATGTTTTCTACTGCCTACGATACTAGTTTTTATTTTTAAAGATAGTAGTTAAGTACGTCTATATTTTGATTATTGCAATCAAAAAGTACTTTAGTTCCTATATATCACCAAGTTAATAGTTTTTAATTTATTTTAAATATTACTTTTAGTAGTTGAATTACCTACTCACATGCGTTTCAAGATTAATAGCAGCCAAAAATATTATATGTACCTGATCGATTAATTGTTTATAAAGAATTATTATTTTATTTTACTTGACATATTGTCTATTGTTTCCTTGTATTTGATAAAATACATTGATATTATTATTCTTATTATTATTATTATTCTAGGTTTATTTTTCATTTCTATATTGTGCAATCTTTTAAGTAGGTACCTACCTATAGGTTTAAGAATGAAGATTTTTTTGTTAATTTTTTAATAAATGTTTTGTGTTTACGGCTGTTCTATCATTTACTTATTGCAACCGTATTCAGCTCCTAGGCCTATTTATGATAAAAACTTAATAGTTATACATATAGAACATGTATATGATATCTGGTGCCCCCCCCCCCCCCCCTTGGCGAAGGGATAAGACCGCCACTGTAATACTCTTCCGTCTGATTACTCCTTTCCTGATCATTCCATATCTTGTTCTTTTTGCCATGTTGTCTAACATTAAATGAAGGGAGGTGAGGTTTAAGATCAATCACATTGCGGCCGCAGCCAGGTTCTCACTGCTCCATAGGCATCAACCTCAGTAATTTCACCAGCACTTCTGTATGTGAACTATTACTGTTTAAATAAAATTAAAAAAAAAAAAACACTATTTTGTCTTATAAAAGTTGTCGTTTACTATCCTCAATTCTAAAAAGTCTCCTGAATTATGCATTTAAATAAGAAAGTATATTTTTATAAAAAAAATTATGGATTTATGGTGTAATTTGAATTTACGTTTTAGAAAATTTTGCGTGTTCAACACGTGCGTGACCATTAAAATTAAACCAATAGAAAGCCGACAAAATAAATATTTCCGTGAAAATTATGTTTATTATTAATTTAAAATTAGAAAACCATAATGTAAATGGTTGTTTCTGAATAGTTTCTTAATTATAATTGGTCTTGTTATATTCAGCACCAAGTTATAAATTGGATATAGATTTTTGTTAGTATACTCGTAATTTTGCTTGTACAATAAGTTTAAACAGCGACATTTTTTCCACGAGCACAGCAAATCAAAACTGTGGAAAAGTGATTTACATACCTTTTGCACACTAACTTTTTCTACTACCGCATTGTTTGAGAGTTAACAAAATGTAGACATTATTTTAACAACGTAATATAAATACAAATAAAATTGAGTGCCTGAGTGATATCGTCACCTAACCTCCACTCCCAATTTTTATTTGAGGTTTTACAGCTGCCTTATAAAAGAAAACAACTACTACGTATTCATAACACAATACAATAAACCTTTTGATTCGGAATTTGAAGAGCTAACATTTTATATGATCGGTTTCATTTTTAATGAGGGTCTTTAGGCAGTATCGGTCAGTTTGAAGATAATTTGACTAATTGAACTATACGGTAAAGCAGGAGTAAAAGTTAAAAAGGCTTCTGCCGGTTCTCCCACTTTATACACATAAATTGACAGGTTAGCAGCGGAACTAACCGAAGTGGACGCGATACCTTGGCGTACAAAATTATTTTAGAGATGTTAATAACAATTTCGAGTAAATAGTTTAATAAATTGTGAATAGCTGTTGAAATTTTGTAAAATTATGATGTGAATATTATAATACATGTTTAAAAATTATAACACTTATCATGATATTTAATTTATTTGATTGCCTTCTAATGTAAGCTCGACTTTGGTCTGTTTTAGATTTTAATAAATATAATATAAAATACTAAAGAGTGATCCACAAAAAATATTTCTTAAGTAGACTATGGTCGACAGAGATATAAGTCAGATCCGTAATAACTACGCACGATCCTAAATTAAATACGAACTGACTTTAAGAAGACTTATACTCCGTAAATTCGTAAATTTTTCCAAGATACACACAAGAAGCATTTTTTGTTAATTACTCCTTATTAATATTATGTGAAATTCAAATTCTTTTATTTTAAAGTTCTTTTTTTATTAACAGATCCAGGACCGAAAAAAAAACGTTTTTGCAATTTTCAAGTTTAAACGAGTTCATTTAAATTATTTGTTGAATTAATAACATTAAAACATTTATCATACACTACATCGTAAACGAGCTAATGCAATTTAATGCAATTTGTATTAAATTTTATCTGAAAATAATTTTTTTAAAGATTAAAAAATACGACTTTATATACCATTAAGAATGGAAAACAAGACAACTGAAGGTTCTCTAATTAAAAATGAGTTGATTAAACGTAACATGTTTAGGTTAAATGTTACTCGCATCGAAATACGTTAAAGTTGAAAATTCAAAAATTTTATTAGCTTTAATTTTTTATTTCTCAGATATTATAGATAATAAATTCGACAAACATTTTTGGTGTCATAAGATACACTACCAGAAAAAATCAGTTAAATAAACTTTGCAAGAGACCTACATGGATAAGTAACACCTTCATGCCCTCTAAATTCTACGCCACTGTCCAATAACTTATGTAGACACACACACACACACACACACACGCACGCACGCACGCACGCACGCACGCACGCACGCACTCACACACACACACACACACACACACACACACACACACACACACACACACACACACACACACACACACACACACACACACACACACACACACACACACACACACACACACACACACACACACACACACACACACACACACACACACACACACACACACACACACACACACACACACACACACACACACACACACACACACACACACACACACACACACACACACACACACACACACACACACACACACACACACACACACACACACACACACACACACACACACACACACACACACACACACACACACACACACACACACACACACACACACACACACACACACACACACACACACACACACACACACACACACACACACACACACACACACACACACACACACACACACACACACACACACACACACACACACACACACACACACACACACACACACACACACACACACACACACACACACACACACACACACACACACACACACACACACACACACACACACACACACACACACACACACACACACACACACACACACACACACACACACACACACACACACACACACACACACACACACACACACACACACACACACACACACACACACACACACACACACACTGTTTCGCATTTAAAATTATGTCCAAGGACTTAGCATCTTTTTTTACTATGTTTTTCAGTATTTAAAAAATTTAAAATGTTTATTTTAGTGATAAACTACAATATTTTAAGATTTAATTGATCGTTTTTGTTTGAATAATTATTAGTTTATATTTTATTCAAGCCACTGGATTTTTTTAATAAAATATTACGTCTTTTATTCAAATATAAACATTCACCAAATTAAACACTTATTCACTTCTTATAAAATGTATTAATACCAAGAAAGTTATTAACAATAATTATTAATTAAAATTTAGAGGGCGTTAAACGTGTGCATAGGATCCCACGTCAATCATAAGTGTCTTTTCGATTTTTCGGTCTTCCACTCGTCGAGTGCGTATGTGTGTGTATCCAATATCCAAGATACAAGTATGGCTTAGGCAGTGGCGGCGTCTTGAATATTGCACGAATCTAACAATATAATCGGGCAGCATATATACAAAGTAACATCTTTTTGTAATCAATTACCTCAAAGTATCAAAAGTTTGTATTTGTTTTCGTGAACATTTTGGTAATTGTGACTTGGCCCTTTTTTTCTTGCACTCTTTAAATCTGTTAGGAAGCACAGCAAGTGAGGCATGAATAAAAAAGGTATTACTTCCCTGTCTAGGCTATTTTATATTCCACAATAAAATACTGCCACTCCAAACGACAGGCGCTTGATACGTTCCTATCTCACCGAGATATATCTTTCATAAGCCATACAAAGTTATGACAGAATAAATAGAAGAGTCGGAAGTGGTAGGTAAGATTAATATCTACACCGACAGTTTTAAAAGAAAACAAGGCAGGGGATATGGAATATACTCCAGATCTTTAAACCTAAACATTAAATGGGCTATGAGTAATAGTATTAGTGTTAGTGTACTTCAAACCGAACTTACGGGAATTATCGTAGCATCAAAATAAATCACCAGAATCAGTATCACTGAAAGGAACATGTTCATCTATACAGATAGCAGACAAGCACTATTCACCCTGGACAGACCACGAATTTACTCAGCCTTAGTACTAGATTGTCACGAAGTATCCATTAAATATGTGGTCAAAGCTCATGCAACATCTAAAGGTAATCCATCTTGCTGATTCACTAGCCAAGAAGGCAGCCAATCAAATACTTTTCGGACCCTTCTATTGGACTGACAAATCGCAAGTGACAAACCTAATTAAAGAACATTCCCTTCTGAAATTCGAGGAAAAATGGGATGAAACAAAAAGATGCAAACTTACCAGAGAGTTTTTAAGTTCCTGACAACACTACATCAAACAAATACTTAACTATGATTAGACAGAATCTGCGCCTGATCACAGGCATTCTGACTGGTTATTGCCATGCAAGTACGGAAGCATCTCCATATCATAAGGCTGTCAGAATCCGCACTCTGCAGGGGGTGCGAACAAGAAGATGTAACCATCGAGCATACCCTCTATGATTTCCTGACGCTCTCATTTATTAGAAGATTTGTGTTCGGCGAGAATTGGCTTACACCGGATGATATAAAAGTAGCACCTCTTGACGACGTTGTCAACTATATTAAATCTGTAGGCTGGCTCACAAGCTAGCAGGTGCCTTTCTACTTAGGAGGATGTACAAATGGTCTATTGAGCCCTAAGTGCCGTGGGTTAACTTACCCTTCACACGTTACAGATAAAGATCTATAAACGAGAATAGATACAAATCCCTCGTGTTTCTTGTCAAAGCAGATATATTTCTTTAAAAATTTAACAATATATTCCACTATATATGCACTAATAAATTTGAAAAATTCCGACAAAGGCTCTGGCAAATAATTTATTTAACTCACTGTCAAAATTTTCTTCTGAAATTATAACATTTGTTATT